AAAAAAAAAAAAAAAAAAAAAAAAAAAAAAAACAAAAAAAAAAAAAAAAAAAATAAAAAAAAAAAAAATAAAAAAAAAAAAAAAAAAAAAAAAAAAAAAAAATAAAAAAAAAAAAAACAAAAAAAAAAAAAAAAAAAAAAAAAAAAAAAAAAAAAAAAAAAAAAAAAAAAAAAAAAAAAAAAAAAAAAAAAAAAAAAACAAAAAAAAAAAAAAAAAAAAAAAACAAAAAAAAAAAAAAAAAAAAGAAAAAAAAAACAAAAAAAAAAAAAAAAAAAAAAAAAACAATAAAAAACAAAAAAAAAAAAAAAAAAAAGAAAAAAAAAAAAAAAAAACGTAGCATCTTTTTTTATTACATAACTCCATTAATATATGTGACAGGCAGTTTGAGGGCATAATGAGAGGGCATAATGCATTATGCCCTCTTCATTATTTTGCCCTCGGAGAGTCATAGCTGCTTATATATTCATATGACAGATATAATTGGCATATAATAGGCCAAATTGAAAAATAAATAAATTTAATCATTTCCTTTGTCACCCTTTTAAACTAAAGAAATAAAGAACAATTTTTTTTATGTGCTTCATTAGAAATATTTATGCTAAGGGAGCGTTAAAATTACTTCTTCTATTTTCATCTTGATTCTTATAATGTAACTATTTTTAACTTTAGACTTATCACTTTGTTTTTGGACGGTATTATATGATATTCTTGTTTTGATATTAAGAGCGTCTCAAAAGTAGCGAATTATTACACATAATTATTGTAGATATACTATAACTGGTATAACTATTTGGTATTTAATTACTCACAAAAGACGGTTCGTTACCTATTCTTATTTTTCAAAACGAAAGCGCAGTAGAAAAATTTATGCTGTTTCTTAAATTACAGATTTAAACTATATCAGACTCTTCATACAACTTCAAAAAAAAACCAGCGTGATTATATTAAGAAATGGAAATACTTAAAGAATCTCGTAGTTGAAATGAAAGTCCAAAATAACTATTATTTGGAAACATTTTTTCCCCCCCCATGAAGTTATATGCTTTACCAAGATGTGCACTACTACAACATTCTGTAAATGGCAATCGTCTAGTAGCCTGTTTTAAAAATATTTTAATGTTATATTAAACCAAGATTTACAGAATTATCCCTACGCACCAAAATTAATTAAGAAAAAGTGTTGTTCCCGAGAAATTTTGGTGAAGTATGTAGTCATTTTGATAAAAAAGAAGGTTATACACTGCCTTCTTTTGAGGCTCGAAGAAAAATTGTCTTCAAGCATCGACCCGGATAAAAAATTTTCTTATAGAATGTGGCCTGTAGAATCCATAATTTCAAACAGTTCCAAGATTGGGCTACTAGTTCAAAAGTTACAGCCCTTTGAATTTTCTTTCGAAATTGGTTTCTAGTCTATAACCTTTAATTGAGAAGTCTGATCGAAAAAGTACGAATTGTTTTGGATTCTACGCACCAAAATTAATAAGAAAAAGTGTTTTCCCGAGAAATTTTGGTGAAGTCGATTTTTGGTAAAAAAAAGGAAGGTTATACAATGCCTTTTTTTGAGGCTCGAAAAAAAATTGTCTCAGATAGACCCGGAAAAAAAATTTTCTTATAGAATGTGGCCTGTAGAATCCATAATTTCAAACAGTTCCAAGATTGGGCTACTAGATCAAAAGTTACAGCCCTTTGAATTTTCTTTCAAAATTGGTTTCTAGTCCATAACTTTTGATTGAGAAGTATAATCGAAAAAGTACGAATTGTTTTGGATTCTACGCACCAAAATTAATAAGAAAAAGTGTTTTCCCGAAAAATTTTGGGGCTCGATCGGGAAGGTAGATCATTCTAAGAAGGAAAAGCGCTTTCGGCAGTCTAATTAAATGTGCGAGGGAAATTCACGGAGTATACTCCCCAGACCTCCATATGCTATACTCTCTTCCAAAATTGTTAAGTTCGCAGCACCGTTCCGAATTTGGAAGACAAGGAATACCTCAAGAAATTTCCATAGCTCTCCCTAAAAAATGATCACAAAATCTAAAGGTGTAACAATTTGAGGGAGAGTGTAAGGCTGAAAGGTCTGGGAATATAGAATGTCTCCCAAATAAGTAAATTTCAGAAACTTCCCTCGCCAATTGTGGGCTGAATGGGTCTAGCACCGGTGGGTGGAATACGTTTCAGGAAGGCAAAGCACTTTTGGACCTCTAATAACAATTTGTAATGGAAATCCAACAAAATTTCCTTTCCTGCGCCGAACCTACCTGGGAGTATTCAATATCCCCTCAGAGCCCCCGATGCTGCACTCTCCTCTTCTCTAAAATGGTTTTGTGAATTTGGGAGACATGGGCACAGAAATTCCTATATCCCCGCGTAAATACGTCCTCAAAGAAAAAATTGTCCGTGGATCTCCCTCCCCCAGAACGTTTAGAAAAATAATAAAAAATGGATGGCCCACTTTGAAAAATGAGCATAAAAGTGCTGACGGATTAGCAATTTGGGGGAGAGTGTAAGACCGGAGGGTCTGAGGGATATGGAATGCCCCCCAGGTGAGCATTCCGTGAATTTCCTTCGCAAATTTTTTCGAAAGGTTTTTTCCTGGAAGGGGGGTATTCCACACCCCCAAACTCCCAGCTCTATACTCTTCCCCAAAAATTGCAAAGCCTTCAGCACTCTTTAGAATGTGGGAAATATGGAATAGTGTTATGAGAGACCATTCCCCTAAGGGGAAGCGAGAAATTACTCCCATTGGATGCGGACTGGTTCAGTTTGCACAACGTAATCGACTAGCGATCCCAGTTCCCTCATGGCTGCTGCTACAGGCCCACTGGATCGTAACTAGCCTCCACTGTTGTTTACACGGACAATTTACTAGAGTTATTGCAACTGGAAACGAGTCATTAGTGTTATTTGGGTACAACTGCGAATTCGGCATGAGGTTCGTTTAGCATGGGGGATTTGATTTATTGCTCCGATCCTTGTTTGATTCGTAGGGCGGCAAATAAGCAGACAAATCACCAATTAAGGATGTCCGGTTTTGTTAATAAAAACCCATTTAGTAGGCGTGCATTAGTTATTAAGTGACGGGGATTTAGTTTTGGAGAAATCGTTCGTTAGCACCAGAGTGCTGATCATAGAAGAAGATTTTGATTTATTCGCGGTTGAGTCACGGTTGCTATCAGTGCGTCATTTTAAGACAAAAGTAAAAGTAAAAAATCGCGTTTGGTCATTAGAACGACCAGCTAGTTTTCCAAGATAAAGCTTGATTATTCCGCGCCTGAACTGTCGAAGAGTTTAACCGTAAATTTGAACGTAAAATATAAATTCGGGTCGGGAACTACCAAGGTATAACCACGAAGTTTTCCTCAATACAAAAATTCGTGCCGAATTTGTCCAGGACATTTTCTGACGGTATAGGGACTCTGCAACTGGGAGTTAGGTGTCAGAAATTCGCTTTCGGGACTCTCAATAACAATTCGCGTGGGAAATTCACGGAATATTTTTTTCCTGGGATGTATATACCCAATACCCTCCAGACATACCGGTGCCATACTCTCTCCCAGATTGTTAAGCCATCAGAACATTTGTGATCATTTTCAGGGAGGGCTTTGGAACTTTCTTTGCCTGTAAGGTATCCCATGTCTCCCGAATTCTCCAAGAAAAATCTTTCGGAACTTTCTTCGCCTGAGAGGTATTCCATGTCTCCCACATTCTCAAGAGTGTTGAAGGCTTAACAATTTTGGAGGAGCGTATAGTGTGGAATATTCCCCAGACAGGTGTATACATTTCAGGAAAGAGAAGCTTTCTGAACTGTTAATAACAATTCGGGAAGGAGACCCCCAGGTAAATTTATCCCAGGAAAAAAGTATTCCGTGAATCATATCTGTGTGTATAATGTGTGGCGAGGGGGGTGGGGGTGGGGGCTTTCTTGAAACCTTGAAAAATAATCACCACGAAAGTGTTCAACAATTTGGGAGAGAGTATAGCATCGAGGGATCTAGGCGGTTTAGAATACCCCCCCCCCCAGGTAAATACGTTCTAGGAAAAAAAATTTCCGTGCATCTCTCTCCCGAATTTATTAAGACTTCCGAAAGCTCTTCTTTCCTAGAATGTATAACTGTCACTACTCTCCCAAATTCCCTGTTGTTCTGTTCTCCCTCCCGAACGGTTAGAAAAACATGTCCCTCGAAAAATTATCCCAGAGGTGCTGAAAGACTTGGTGTTTTGGAGAGAGTATAAGACCGGAGGCCCGGGGGATAATGGCAGGCCTCCCAGATAAATAAATTTCAGGAAATATATGTTCCGTGAAGTTCCCTCGCAAATTGTTGTTGGAGTTCCGAAAGTGCTTCTTTCCTGAATGAATGTAACACATAGAGTGAAGGGGGGTGGGGGAGATTCCTGCCTTGAAAATACATTCCAGGAAGGAAAAACGCTTTCGAAACTCTAATAACATTTGTGAGGGAAATTCAAGGAATATCCCTTTCCTGGGAATTATACACCTGGAGAAAGGATCATAAGAGTTCTGAAGGTTTGAGAAAGAGTATAGCACCGAGGTGTCTGGGGGGTATTGGGTAAATACATCCCAGGAAGAAATATTCCGTCAATTTCCCTCGCGGATTGTTATTGTTAGTTCCGAAAGCGAACTTCTAACTCCCAGTTACGGACTCCTCATACCGCCAATTAGTGTTTTTTCGACTACGGACACATCTGCTTATTTCAGATACCTGAAACAACCACCAAATATGTGCACTAACTCAGTAAAAAAAACAGGGCGTTTAATTAATCTGTCCTTGACTGAGCACAACTCCAATTTATGCGACGAGAATCTACGTATTTTACAGTCAAATTTTGTATGTCGCCTTCGTATACGATAATTCACTTTTTGGCGACACCGTCCCTTAATCCTTTTCTTGTTCCGGTTTAAAATCGCCCGGAGCTTGCGTACATATTGAAAATTTGCGCACAGACAGCAACCGTGACCTAACCGCGAATAAATCAAAATCTTCACTATGAGCGAATCGCTTATCTCGCTCATGGATCACGGCGTGAGCTGCCCGGCGGCTTCATCTGAATTTGTCATAAATTATAAAACCACTCGGTGCAAAACCTAACAGCTCTGGTCGTGGCTTAACGCGCATTGTCCCACGGCCTTCACCAACGACTAAATTTCCACCACTTTAGTTTTTAAAACTATGTCCATCGATCATTTGAATGTTTTCCTCCTTCTCTACCAATGAAACGACGAGTAGAAACCCAAATTGACAGCTCTTACTACGCAAACCCAGTAACACCCTTGCTACATCACGAGCAAATTTGGCATCAGAAGGCTCGCGATTCTTGTTAATTTCGTCCCATCCCACGACTTTCCGGCGCCATACGCTTTCATACGCATTTAACTCAACAGGACTGTACCATTCACCTTGAAAACGCAACAAATTTTTGAACAATCCTACCCTGTAATGATGCCACTCTAGATCATCTAATTTAAAAAACCATCGTAGCCCCACAAAAAATTAACGCCAGATCCTTAACTAGAAATAACCACCCTTCAAAGCGTTTCAACTAACTTAAACAAATTAAATTCTTGACCACGCCCATTTATTTATTTATTATCCCTCTCTATTGTTCTGGGCCCTCAACAGGCTTGCGCCCAATTACAGAGTGACCCGCATAATGCTTTCCATGTGTCTTTTTTACTATAGACGACCGTGTCTGAATGAACAAGGAGAAATGCATGTTTTCCAGTGGGCGGATACCTGTGACTGTTCTTGTACTAAACGACATATAATAGAGATGCCACTTCAAGGGTAGAAGCATGCTGCTCTGATTCTCAAAAATGGACACGGTTTGAAGAGGAAACCTAAAACTCACCACATCGCCTACGGACCCAGGATATTCACCATTCCTGGTGGCCTTGACTGTCATGGCGTCCTTTGAGTGTTTAATTTGAACCAATTTTGTCATAGCTGATATACATTAACCATTTATACAGGTTGAAAGTGTTTTGTTTACGAACTGCGTCTGGGCTAAACTAACGAACCGAAAATAATGCGGCAGCAGATGTAGTGCCATCTGTCGACGAATTTGAAATACGGAAACGAGCCCTTTATTAAATCCGGATGCATTAAGCAATTAAACTCCGCAGGATATCACCCTCAAATGTTATGAGAATCGGTGTGTTCACACGTACAATTAAGCAATTTATGTATCCTAAGACCTCTGTGTAACCTTATTGTCAAATATGCGAGTAGGAATTTTCTCAACTGCACATCATCGCATTCTCGGTCGAGTTTGAAGTAATGACATTTTTCAACCTCTAAAGGGCTAAAGTTAAAGTGTAACATCCTCTTGGTTCAGTAACGAAATGGAAAGTGTTATTGAAGAAACTGCACCTAGCATTTCACTCCCGTAAGGATTTGTAACATCAAAGTTTGCACATTCTACATTAGCCTTTAACTGTCGATCAAAAAAACTCGTTCGAGCAAATTGTAAGTTTAGCGGTTATAAAAACGCTTTCAGTTGCGGGGGAAAGTTGAGAGAGTCTTAAAAATAATACCCGTCAACTTCACGTTCCGTGTACATCTCCGATATATACATAATATTGATTTTTTTAAAAGCATCCCGTGCTTTTTACGTGCGATACACTGTGACAACCATATTCATCTTTAATAAGTCGCCCTAAGAAGCATTTTTTATTAAAAATACGTCTTCCCTTTTATTTTCAGAACGAAAGACGGGAGCAGCACTTTACGCCCGGACGATTTACGCCCATAAAATTACCTGAGGGGCCTCCGCTGGAAGGGGTCGCGCAATTATTAGATTTTCCCCGACATAAGCTTAGATTACTAGAGAAATTGGGGGAAGGCGATTTTGGAATGGTAAGTTCGGAATGAAAGGAAAAAGTAAATGTTGCAAATTGTTTAGACGTAAAGCGAAGAAACAATATCGCTTTACTTTTTAAAGGAAAGTAAACGACGAACAAAGCAGCGTGGAGGTCGTATCGGTTTCCGCGAGACGCACCCGAGGGTACAATAAACATTGATGCCTTCTTTTTCTTCGGTTTGTCAATATTAAATAAGCGGAGTTTTATACGGTCCTTTAAAAAGTATCCGTCAACCTTTCTTTTGCAATTTACCTACCGTATTTAAGTATTAATTCCTTCGATTTCGAACGGGATCGATATAACTGTCGTCTCTTGTCACAGGTACATCTATGCGAAGCGGAAGGCCTTCCCGACTTTAACGGAGGTTCTTCCTTCCATAAAAAGCAGCTTGTCATTGTCAAAAGTCTCTGGAGGGGTTGCGGTGACACAAAAAGGTTGGTATGTTTACATGTGCGTATATTTATGTTATTCAGCCAGAACTGACGTGTGTCTAATATTCAATTTGGAACATTTTTGGAAACGTGCGACTTTGTTTAGATGGTCTTAAATTCATTTTCAGCCATGCTAGACTGAACTAACTGATTTTAAAGTGGACGTAGGACGTAATGGTAGAAAATTGATGGCGATACTAGAAAACGGTGAGAGAAAAAGAAGGAGCGGGATAGGACACCTTAAGGTGTCAGTGTCAGTACGGAAAAGAGGAACGTGAAGTCCCTGAAAGAGAAACTCCCAAGTGAAATCGGGGTAGAGGCCCAATGCAGAGTTAGGGAGGAGAGCAGGCTAGTGTCCAGAATTTTCCAGAAATGTCTAAAGTCTAGAGACTTTCGCCAAGAATTTGGATTCTGCTAAGCTTCCCTCACGTTTGTTCTACGATTATTGCAAAAGATGACGGTATTTTCACGCACAAACTCTTTAGGATCTCTCCTAGAAGTCACAACAACTTCCCACCCTTTTGAAAATATTCCTCCACAACTTCCTCATGGTACCATGGTCGAAAATTTTACCAATTGCCATTTCAACGTTACCTACAACAGTTTTTCACGGTCCAAGAAGTTTCCAAAAGCTATGCAAGACTTTCCGAAAACTTACCCAGATCATTCCATTATTCTCCCAAGATTCTCAATGGAACTTTCAAAGACCGAAGTGTATAACAACCTCTTCAAGTTCCGGGACGAATTCATTGGAACCCGAATATCTATCCCCTCGCGTAGTTGAAAATGGGATGAAAATCCCTCGTCAATACGATAGCCGGCACCAGTACAAGGACCAATTCAAGTACAACAGATGCTTGCATAGTCCTATTAAGATCGTCCCGCGAGATCCTCAAAAGATCGGTTTTTATTCTTCAAAAATGTTTTACCTTTTGAAAGGTTTTCAGGATTCTCGCAGAAATTCCATGAACCCCACTTCGATTGTTTCCAGCCAACATCAAACGTACTTTTTTCCAAAGCAGAATCCATCCTTAGGTTTCCAAAGCCTTGTCACTCTCGAAGGCCCTTAAAGGTACTCTATCGATCTTCCCTAAAATTTTTCCAACATTTCCTCAAAACTTTCTCAGTATTTTTCCAGTGGTCTTTCAAGATCCACAGAATCCGTTCAGTAATAAGTGGATTTCTTTGGCTTACTCCAAGGATCTGCACAGCGTCCCGCACGATCACCTTCACATTGCACTCCGTTTCCAAAAGCCTTCCAGGAACCAGCCTGAAATAACTTCAGAATGGTATGTTCACCTAGTATCCTTGGATCTCAGAACAACCAAGATTTCTCCTAAGTGTTACAGTAACCCTTACATGATCCAGTGAAGGTAGCACCAAGATGTTCCCAATATTTTCCAAAGTTCTTGCACAACATTTTCAAAATCCTCACAAGGCTTTTCCAAGGTTCTTTCCAGATTTTTTTGAATTCCATACAATTATACTGTTGTTCAACGATGCTGCTTCTTTAAGAAACTCCTAAGACTTTATCCCTCACGGCTCCCTGGCAGTTTTTGAAGGACGTTGCCAATAAATTCCTCCAAAGTATCATCGAGGTCTTTCAGAATTATCAGACCCTCTTGTGTGACTTTTGCATGCTTAGACTATGATCCTTCCCAGGTACCCTGGTTTCCACTTTCCCCCAATATTCTAAAAATTGTTCTTCCGAAGCTCTTCCTGAACTTATCCTTCCAACATTCCATTTGCCTATCAATTTGTAGATTCTCCCAAGTATCTTTTAGTCAACTTTTTCGAATGTCTTCACCAGGGGTGGAAGAGTGCATAGAAATTTGTTTAATTGTAAGTAGAGAGTGATAGGGAACTTATCCTAGTTTTACAGGATCTTCATACGATTGTTATAAGTCTGATTTATAGATTATCCTTAATTATCCTAGAGTGACTTTTAGGGAAATACTTCTACCTTCTCGCCTTCTCACTTTTTTTCTTAAATCCATTATTTGTGCGTTTGCCCCATTCTTTCGTTGGTGTCCTAAATATTTAAATCCTCTCTTACTGCCTCTACCCTTTCATCTACCCTCTTTTTCCTTTCTCCCTCCCCTCCTTCCAAACTCCCATCATCTTCGATTTTTCGAGATCTAATTCTCTCAGTGTCTCCACCAATACCTCTCCATTCTTTCCATCATTTCCCTCATACGTTTTTCCTCCTTTGTCATTTTTACTATACCGTCCAGCGTATGCCATGCACCTTACCTTCTATCTACCCACTACGATTCTTCTTCTTGCTTCTTCATTTCTTTCCGGATCTGTTGTACTTTTATTCTGTTCTCTCAAATTTTTCTCCTCTATCTCTCTGTTTCTTTCTTTTTCTATCATAGTTCTGTACCTGTTTCTTTTGTACACTCCCTGTCACACCATTCCTTTCTTTTATCTCTCCATGTTCTTGCGTTTTTACTACTCTGCTGCATATTTTTCCATTCCTCCTCCTTTTTCTTGTGTTTGTTTCTGTAGTCTCTTTCTATAAGTCCACAATATCCTTCGACTACCAAAATCGAGATCTCTCGAAAAAGTCTCTTCCAGATTAATCCATACCTTTCCTAATCAATTAACACCCCAAAATGGCCCTTTTTTAATGAAATCCCCAAGACTCGCTAAAGGTTTTGTTGAGCGGCCAATCCTAACCAAGATGGTACTGCCCTCAAAACATCTTGTCCCTAAAGATTTTCCAAACGTGATATCAAAGTCTTTTATAAAGGAAGTTTTTTGGATCCTTCTCTACGACCTTTTATGATTTTTCAACGAGGATATCCCAAAACTCCGCTAAATATTTCCTTTAATTTTTATTTTTCTTTATTTTCTTATAACTTGAACGCGATTTTTTTGACCTAGACACTTCGACTGCCAAAAACGAAATCTCTGGAAAAAGACTCCTCCAGATTAATCCCTACCTATCTTTCCTAATCAATTAACACTCCAACATTGCGCTCTTTTTAATGAAATCCCTAAGACGCACTAAAAGTTTTGTTGAGCGGCAAATCTTAACCAAGGTGGTTGTAAAATAATTAATATAAAAAGTATTAATCAATTTCGCACAGGAACCAGTAAAGGTACTGCTCTCAAAACATCTTTTTCCTAACGACTTTCCAATCGTGATATCAAAATATTTTCTAAGGAAGTTTTTTGGTCCCTTCTCCACGACCTTTTATAATTTTTCCAAGATCCCCCACGAGGGTATTCCAAAACTCCGCTAAATATTTCTTTTAATTTTCATTTTTCTTTGTTTTCTTGTAGCTTGAACGCGAATTTTTCTGACCTAGACCCTTCGACTGCCAAAAAGTAAATCTCTCGAAGAAGTCTGCTGCAGATTAATCCTTACCAATCTTTCCTAATCAATTAACACCACAAAATCGAGTTTTTTTTAATGAAATCCCCAAGACTCACTAAAGGTTTTGTTGAGCGGCAAATCCTAACCAAGGTGGTTCTAAAATAATTGTTATAAAAAGTATTAATCAATTTCGCACAAGATCCAGTAAAGGTACTGCTCTCAAACCATCTTGTCCCAAAAGATTTTCCAAATTTGATATCAAAATCTTTTCTAAGGAAGTTTTTTGGTCCCTTCTCTACGACCTTTTATAATTTTTCCAAGATCCTCCACGAGGGTATTCCAAATCTCCGCTAAATAAGTCTTTTAACTTTAATTTTTCTTTGTTTTCTTGTTACTTGAACTCGAATTTTTCTAATTTAGACTCTTCGACTGCCAAAAACGAAATCTCTCCAAAAAATCTCTTCCAGATTAATCCCTACCTACCTTTGTAATCAGTTAACACCCCATAATGGCGCTTTTTTTAATGAAATCCACAAGACACACTAGAGGTTTAGTTGAGCGGCAAATCCTAACCAAGATGGTTGTAAATTAATTAATATAAAAAGTGGTAATCAATTTCGCACAAGATCCAGTAACGGTGCTGCCCTCAAAACATCTTGTCCCTAAAGATTTTCCGAACGTGATATCAAAATCTTTTCTAATGAAGCTTTTTGGATCCTTCTCTACGATCTTTTATAATTTTTCCAAGATCCCCCACGACAGTATTCCAAAAATCCGCTAAATATTTTTAATTTTTATTTTTCTTTGTTTTCTTATAACTTGAACGCGAATTTTTCTGACCTAGACACTTCGACTGCCAAAAACGAAATCTCTCGAAAAAGTTTCCTCCAGATTAATCCCTACCTATCTTTCCTAATCAATTAACACCCCAAAATTGCGCTTTTTTTTTAAATGAAATCGGTCATTTCATAATATTTGGTTATTCTGATTTGTTTAAAATCTATCTCTTCTCACCTCACCTTTTCTCTAAACACCGGACAGACTACCGGGGCTCATTTACGGGTCACAACATATTTCCAACTTAATAACTTTAAAAAAATGATCGCCAAATATTCCCTGGCCTTTAAAAACTAGGTTTACTATATTTTGGGATGATGGACCCTTTAATTTTGAGACCCTGTATACTTTCTACTGCCTAACACACAACATGGCGTATAATAAACCCTATTAAAGACTCCCGTTACAACCCATAACATGAAGCGGCAGAAGAAAGCATAGCATGACAAGGAATCTATGGGACCATGAAGGAACGAACATGTGGGAAGGATAGAATAATGAGGAAAAAATGGTGTAGTATCCGAAGGCATGTTCTTATTGTTGTAATGGACAAAAGGAAATATGCACAAGCGATTTAATGTAAAAACGACGAGTACTAAAATGATTAATAATGAAGCAATATAATACGTTTTAAACGTTTCAGTTTAAATGACCCTATTTTCGTTCAGTGGGCTAATCCAATTAGTGAAGATTTCCTTAATTCCGCTTACGACGACGTTACGTTTTCTTTTTATATTGCGCCCTTTTAAACGCCTTAATTGCATATCGGGTAAAAAACTCAATCGCACGTTAAGTCCTAATCTTGGGATTACAAAGTAACTGCCGCACGTTGTATATGTAAAACTTGCGAACTCAGATTTAATTCGATTGTTTATCGGCGGAGTACCTAAAATTGAATTCCGCCCCTTTTCGTCGTTACAAATTGGATCAACATGGCTGCGTAGAGTTATATATGATTGAATCTTCCTAGTGCCATTATTCAGTTATATCTTTCCAAAGATGTTCATGCGCTTGATCTCCATATATAAATAGCAATCACAGTAAATTCCCCCTGTTATGGCGGTATCAGCTGTTGTATAACTTATACGCTTACCGTAGACACGAGTTCCTGCGGGAGACCAGCTGGTTAGCGGGACTACGAGACCCCAACCTAGCGAGGGTGGTCGGATTGTGCAGTCAAGACGAGCCCATGTGCGCGCTCTTGGAACATTCCGAACCAGGAGAGCTGCCACGTTTTCTTGCACAGCGGGCCGCCGATGATGACTCACAGAGCCCATCTATTAGGTATGCTAATATTTTTTTATATTTTTTTGTTCTTTCAGGGCGGCTCGCACGCGGTTTACCGTACAAATTAGTAGCGTCTAAATACATTATTCATTAACGCGCCGACATTAATTTGACATAAACACTAATCCGTGTAATCGCACTTAAATCATTTCAAAATATTAACGAACAATCGACAGAGAATGTAGAAATTTCAAGTGGGTTTTATAAAGAGTTCGGGTCGTGGCTGTCATAAAGGGTAAATAATATTATTCCACCCTAATTAGAGAGTTTATGGGACTGACAACCTTAAGCTTCTTACAATCTGGCGAATTTTCATACATTGTACCTCATTGTTATCGGTACAAAACTGCTTACAATTCCCTTTCCGCGGCACTTTCTATTTGCGAGAGTAAAGTATCTTTGTTAAAATGCGCCCCTTCCCATTCTTCACCCTCACAAAGGATCGTTTTACAGTTTTGAATACCTGAAACGCACTCGAAACGATCAAACTCGACTTTCAGCAGAAATTGCGATGACCTGTTCTGAAAGCTTATTAAGAATTCCGAATGCAGCACTTCGGATTCTAGCTTAATCGGGAAAAAAATACGCACAGTTTCGAAAACGCAGGCCGCGCTAATTGAATATATTAAAAAAGTGCTGGCGTCCAGATGGTCCGCTTTTGTTTGCGGATGCGATTTTTGTTTCAGCGCCTACGTCAAAGTCAAGGGGGCGAAAATTGCTCAAATATAAACTCGCGAACCAACCAATTTTCAAAAGTAATCACTGGATAATGAGCGTTTCTTCTTTCATAATTTATTTGGTGTTTCGCGTTGTGCGGTCGAGGCGGCCGTATAAAAATGAGAGCGAAGGTATATAACTTTTCATTGTTGATACAGTATGCAAGAATTCCATTACAATTTTAGACTGGGATTTTTATCCGGTTATAAAAATTCCATATTGTGTGCTTTGGGGGGTTTTCATACTGCGGCAACGAGCACCGAATAAACTGCGCTGGTAATAAAGAGAGCATCTATAACGACAAAATATGGCTTACATTGAAATAGACGCCATTTTATTATTATTCTACTTCGTCCTTTGTTATTATTAAAAAAAATTACTATTGCAAATTATTTTTTTATTTACACGCTTCCTTCATCTTTAATCTTATTTTTTTCTGTAGTTACCTTTATCTTGGCATTGGTTACCATAGTTACGACAACGACTTTGTTTACCTAAACTTGGTACCGTTTGGTTCGCTTACAACGAACCGCTATAAAATTTGGGCAGAAGCACCACAGAATGATTCACTCTTAAACCTTTCCAGCATTTCATTGCGAAATATGGAATAATTTCTAAAAAAAAATCAAAACGACAACCGCTTCGTATTGTTTATTTAATTGTGAAACGTGAAATTGCAAGTTAAACTGTAGGCACATCTGGCCGTTTGCGATAAGAGTTTTTGTTATCAGACGAGATTTAATAATGCACATGTTTTTATATCGCTGTTGGAAGAAATAACGGGTTCTGCATTTGTTAAACGATGTGCGTATTAGTTCGGCAGTAGTGGAGACGCGTTCTGTCGAATCTGGCGTTATTAAGGCTGGTTATGATTGGCATTTCATTTGTAAAAATCGGAAATCGGATTATTGTATTGAAGTAGTGTTTCGTTAAATACTGCAAGCAGGAGGCTGCGAATACGCTGGTTCGCGACGGTTGGAAAGCTTACGTGTCGTTCCGATATTTTTATTCAATCGTTCCGCCCTGTTTGAGTGGTTTAAGACGCAGTTCGTCATTTTCATAATATTTCCGTACAGAAGAATTGAGGTTGCTACAAAGTTGTGAGTAGTTCAACGCGTGTTGTCCGTATTCGAAAACAGTTACTCGGGCCGAAGTAAAGGAAAGAGTTTTAGTGCATCATGAGGCCTGCTGTTAATGCCAGTCAAAAATACTACAAGCAATCACCAACGCTCCGTGGTACGTAACTAACCAGATGATACACGAAGATCTTGGAATCCAAACAACAAAACATCTTGACTAGATCGCAGTCCACACCCATCCTCTGTTGTCAGACCTCCCACATAACGAAGTCTTAAGAAGGCTCAAGAAACGTTGGCCCACTGATTTACAGTAAAGATGACTCATCGATAGAGGGGCCCTCATCACGCCAGTATTCTGATTGCTGATTTATATTTTAAAAAAATTTGTTGCTCGCTTGCGTGCGGGGTAATTTGTCCAAACAAGCGTTGCAGTCTCCTTTTTCGTTCAGTAATTTTGCGTTTCGGAATCAAATTTTGTCATTGCTAATCAATTAATTGTTTCCAGGTGTCAGGTCACGTTAATGAAAATCCTTTGGAATTTTAAAAAGTTGATCGAGGCCACTGAGTCTAACAACTTATTAGTTTAAGCCAATATTGGGAGTCTTAAAAAACAAATAACGTGGAAACAAAAAAAGGCGAGAAAAAGGAAAGGAGTGGTGGGACAAAGGGTATGCAAAAGAAACAACCGGATATAGAAACATGAAGAAAAGGGGAAATAGAGGCTGTAGCTAGCACGTGCGGGTGGTAAAAAACTGAGAAGAATTTTTGGAAGGTGATAATCAGAGGAACACAAAAATAGAACAAGCGAGAGGGAAATAGATTTACAGGAATGGAAAAAAACATAATATTATCAAAGTGCTGCAAGGGAAGTAGGTGGAAGAGGAGACTGTGGAAGAGGGGAGATTGAAGGAAATGATATAACAAGAGAGGAAGTCGATCAGCAGTTAAAAGGATTTTATTTTAGCCACAGAGTCACGGGAGAGCTTGCCTGAATAATAGAAGGAAGGGGCAATAACGCCGATTTTCAAACGAAGTGATAAACATTGTGTGTAAAATTATAGGGGAATCACTATAATGAATACGGCGTATAGAATATATGCAATGGTACTGAACGAAAGGTTAGAAAGAGAAATGGAAGAGAAAAGGATGTTGGAGGAAACGCAAATGGACTTACATGGGACTGATCGACTGTATACAGGGTGTCCCTAAAAGGTCTGTACAACGCGCTACCATGGGTTCTTGGTATCAAAATAGGACGATTTAACCCAACTTACCTCTATCCAAAAGT